GTAATTTAACAGTAAGTGATAATATTACTTTAAAAATCTACTCCATAAACATTTGTTGCTCTTCGTTAGCAAGGTTCATGGTGATGACGATGATGTGATGATGATGATAAAACATTTTAAATGCTTTAAAGGTTTCTTGTGGTTCTGTGAGAAGACCATTGCAGGGTCTATTCTGTGCTTATTTCTGTTTTACTCTCACCGTTCAGTGCTTCTATTCCTACTCCTGTGGGATGCTAATGATCTTCACAAGTTCTACCTCACATGAGAAGGGAAGCACCTAGAAGTCCACACAATACAAATTCATATTAACTTTCCTATTTCATTACAGCAAATTCTTCGTCATTCTAGAGAAAATGCAACAAAAGTTATATTTCTCATTACTGATGGATATTCCAATGGGGGAGATCCTAGACCAATCGCAACATTACTGCGAGACTTTGGAGTGGAGATCTTCACTTTTGGCATATGGCAAGGAAATATTCGAGAACTGAATGACATGGCTTCCACCCCAAAGGAGGAGCACTGTTACCTGCTCCACAGTTTTGAGGAATTTGAGGCGTTAGCTCGTCGGGCATTGCATGAAGGTAATGGAAATCTAATAGCATAACAAAGGTAATTTTAAATGGGGGTTCCTTCTCTCTCACTGCCCAAAACCCACTAGGGGGTAACATTGAACTTTTATTAGGTCCTTGCTGAGCAGGATGCCCATGTGTCCTTTGGGTATCATGAGAAGTGCTGAACCTCATAGAGATGACATTCTGACCTTGCAACAAGAGTATTTGTTTTGTTTCTTAAAGCTGTGATATATTTTCACTAAAATATCCATGTGCTGCCACCTAGAACTGTTAGAATTAATGGAATGAATTAAGGTGTGTTTTGAGACCACACACAGAGTGGGAAGCCTTGACTTAGACCTCTTTACAATTTTCTGAACAGATGAAGTAAACATTCAGAGACATGCACAGTGAATCTCACCAGAATGTTTGCAGAAATACACGTGAAGATATAGGGACAATAAATACTCAACATATACTTCTTGACCTGGCAATTTGAAGATAGGTATGCTTATGCATCTGCTTAAGAGCATTAACCCTAAAAGCGAAGAAAAGTGCATTCATTAGAGTTCTTTGTACAAGTTCTTTTACAAGGATGTTTAATTGTATAATTTATGTTAGATGAACTTCCTGCCATAATATGGACATGAATCTTGGGGAGCCAGGAGAAGAAAACACAAACTGGGAGGAGATCATGGGAGATCTAGCCTCAGACCAAAGCAGTGTGGCAAATTAGGCTTGATCCTTACAGGTGTCCCTGTGAAAGATTGCATTTGACTGGGAAACCATGGCAACACGAGCTCCCATAATAAGTGGGTTAACCCAACTTTAGCTCCAGGAGAAGAGTTTAGAGCAGGATATCATGCTGTAGCTGTGAATACAATAGAAAGGATTTAGCTCCCTGAAGGATGATGCTGGCAAAAGTCATTGGAGGTTAGGATCTCAGTGAAGTGGGCAAGGACTTAAGGCAGGGTGTAGAATCAGCAAGAAAATAGGTTTGGGGAGTAAAGCAGTTTAGATTTAATGCTGGGCCTGCAGCTTAATAAAGTGTAGTTTTTAAGAGCTAAGCCTTAAAAATCCAAAGTGCCTGGATTTGAATCCCCGGTTTGTTACTACTAGCTGAGTGTTCTTAAACAAATTATTAATTTTTTTAACTCCTTAGGTTTCTTGTTAATAGAACAAGGAATGAGAGTAATACCTACTTCATAGTATTGTCATAAGGATTAAATGGGTTATTACCTTTAAAGTGATTAGAAAGTTGTGGATGGTTTATTATACTAAGCTCTCAATAACTGTCTGCTATTACTATTTATTAATTATTAATATTCGTTAATTATTAATATTATTTATTATTATCTTCATCAATTTATTTAATGACCACGAGCTTCAGTTTCCTTTCCTTCCAAAAAAGGAGTGTTACAATATGATCCACCTAGATTTTTTTAGGAGAAATAAATAAAATATTTAAACTTCACCAAGTACTCATATAGTATCTAGAAGTTCAATAACTGTGACCTCCTTTCTTTGTCCTTTTCTCCTGGCAAGTGATGTTTTCAGTAGGGAAACAGAGTGGTTGCAATTGGAGATAGTGGGCATTACTAGATGGGATTATGATGTTATGGGTGTTATTAGCCGTGTTGTAGAAGAAGAATTTCCAATCTTAACATCCCTTTGTCTTGTAGGACTGGGGCCTTCTGCCCTATTGTGAGTTGGTTCAGAAACTAAGTGGG